TCCTTTATGATAATTTTATATTATTTGTTTTTATCTATTTTTCAGGAAAATCACCTAATAATATTTCAAAAATATTTAAACAGTTTTGGGACAAACTTTTAAAAAAACTGTTAAAAACAGTAGTATTGGGTTGTCGGCGAGTTAATTGAAAAACATTAACTATTAATTTATTGGTATTAAATTAAAACTAAAGTAAAAGAAGAAAACCGCACCTTTTTTCTTTTTTTTTCTTTTACATTCATATGAAAGTTCAGTCTGACAGATGTAGGATAAAGTCGGTGACAAGTATAAAGTTAGTGACAAAGTATAAATAATTTGTTTATCTGAAAATGTTTATAGTTCAATAGATGTATTTCTTTATTAATCCGGGTTTTTAATATTAATAAATGGATGGTAAAAGTAAAGTAGGTGACAATACTCTTATGCTATTTGTTCGTTGTTTTCCAAAAACAGAAAAAAATTCTGTAAATTTTATAAACACAAAAAGGGCAATAATGTGTTCAAGCTTTTCTGAAAAAAGGTGATCTTAATATAAAAAATAATATTAAAAATGAATGATCACCATTGAAACCACGAACCCGCATTAACAAAACTCGCTTGAATTGACAAAGACAACAAAAAGCCATTAACTCTTCTAATCATTTCCATCGTACACTTTAAATTCCAATGAGTTTTGTTGAAATGATAGATGGGGGAACAGTCTCACAAATTTGTTAAGATGAGTTTGTTTTTTACATATTTTTTTTTCTAAAAGAATATGATTATTAAGACCTTTGTTGGATGGATCAAGCACAATAAAGTCTGTCGTTTTTTTTTAGATGTGGCAGACTATTGACTCATTTATCATCTCTTTTTGTTTAGAGTCAAAGTCTGCAATGTTAACGACATTAACGTCTTTGATAGGAGCCGTGAGTTTGGTCGTTGTTGTTTGTTTGGGGAATATAGTTGTCTGAAAAAAGGTCTAAAACCATTTGACAAGTCGAAAATCATCTTATATATTAATGAAAAGCGGATAGGGCTTTCAATATTACAGGAAACCATCCTTTTACTTCGAAATGACGCGATAATGCCCTCATTTATTGCTGATTTATTGGTTTTTTTCTATTTTTTAATTTAACCGTTATGTGTTATTTTTTTGTAATTAACGAGTCTTTTATTCGGTTTTGTTAGAGAGCCAAAATCTTTTGTGAATTGCTCAGAAAGTGAAAAGAAATAATGTTCGTAAGCCTCAAATGTGTAACAAGGTACACAACATTTTATGTAAAATTATTGACGGTAATTGTTGGGAGTGAGATATTCAAGTTTAATCACTTTTGTTTAAAAAGTCATTTTTGTTTACATAAATCAATTTTATTTTTAAAATTGGGTTTTTTGTAAGTTAAATACAAATATTGACATGTTTATTGTTTGTACTATATAATTTCAACTAAACAACTCAAAAAAATCAAAGACTAGTTTTAAAAATCATAACATGATTTCTTTTGTAACACATTTTTATATAATTTGGCATCAGCCTATTATTTACCAAACACAACAACCGTTTTTCAATGATAAAACAAATGGTAGACGAAAAGAAAAAATTGTTCAAACAGTGAACAATAAAAGAGGAGATACAAACTTTTTATCGAAAAAGATGAAACAACAACAAATAAAAATATTGTAACAACTATAATAAGTACTAAATGGACACCTCTTCCAGTAGTTCATAAATTTTTGTTTTTCAAAGATGGAGCATCCAAAAATACTTACAAAGATTCAAATAGTAAAACTGGTTGCAAAGTTAGAATTAAAATTACTAAATTTAAAAAAGAAAGTGCTTTGTTGGAATTCGAAAAAGCAATTTTTGTTAATAAAAGTGAGCACAACCACACAATATCTGAACAGTTGGACAAAATTAACTTGCTTCACAACATAGAAAGACGTGTCAAACATCATTATTATTTGTAGAAAAGATCTGCTGCAATGCAGGGTTTTGATTATGGTAAGTATAAAAGAAGAATGTAATCGGCTAACAAATTGTCACCATTAATTCCGCCTTCTGTATATACAGTAAAAATTATATCGGTGTGTGGAGTCATGAAAATGGTTTTCCCTAGGTGTGTAAAATTTTTTCTTTTCTTTTTTAATTTCTGGCAAAAAAAACTAAAAAATCATAAAATTTGTAAAACTATCCACAATTAAGAAAAATAACAAAATATTTTTTTTTGTTTTTGAGAAAAAAAAGCGACACGTGTAAACATAAAACAATATTGTGATTTTTTAAATCGTTTAATTGTTTAGAATAAGAACAACGCATCGTGTTTTTGTATAAAAACAAGGATTTTTGGTGCGGATTGGTTCTTGTCAATTTACAACTCAAGTACGTTTTTGAATTTATTTTCAATTGCTGCATTGTCTTTTTTGATAACCTTAAAAAATTATCTTGTTTACTCTGTTATTACACAGTAGCAAGTTAGTGTCGATTTTTGACAACAATAGTTATCATCTTGTCGTCCTCCGCCTTGAATCATTTTGCGTGTGCAACCATCTTGTCTACCTGTTCCTTTGAGAGTCTTATTATTTATTGTCTCGTTTTCGGCCGACACATTTAATATCCCATTTGCATTTGTGTCAAATGTGACTTAAACTGTAAGACTCTACGTGGTGCTAATAAGATACCAAACAACACAAACTTTCCAAGCAGGTTGCAATGTGATGTCATAGATGCCTCGCCCTCAAAGACTTGGATGAGCACGCCTGGCTTATTGTCTGCATGCGTCGAAAACATCTATGACGTTCTTGCTGAAATTAATAAGTTTTGTGATATCAATTCTGTCATCACACCAATCACAAGCGTGCTCTTGTGATTGGTGCGTGGAAGTCGGTGCATTTTTTATTATCATTTAAAGTTTAATATTTTGAAAGGAGCTTTTTACTGTTTTTCTTTTGTTATCTTTTTTGAAATTTATTTTTGTTTGATAATTTTTCTCTTTTTAAGTTTTTATTACCAAGTCTTTACTCTTTTGAAATAAATAGAAATTTGCAATTGACATTTTTTTGCGGGGTTTGGTGCCAAATATGTAGGGAATCATTATATTCTATCGGTGTGTAGGTCACTTTTGATTGGTCAAAATAACACACCGATAGAATTTCTACTGTATAAAATAAAAATTATTCGCAAAAGTTATAATAACCATTATAATTATCAGATTTATTTTCAAAAATAATCAGAAACAAGAAAAACATGAAATTTAAAGTTAATTAACATTTATACTAAATAATTAAATAATAATATTTAATACTAAATATACTAAATATATTGTTTAATGATAATTAAGTTTATTGTAAATTGTTTTTGTACTTGCCAATAAAGTTTATTTGATTAAAAAATATACAAACTATTGTTAAAATTATCGGGACTTTAATTGACTTTTTTTAAAAAATGAAAAAAAAATCAAAACATAGATATTTCAATTTCGAACAAATTCCCAATTTTTTAAAGTTACATTGACCAAAAAACCACAAACAACTTATTTCAAATTTGATTTATTTCGTTGAATTACAAAGAACGCAAAATTCCATTAAAAAACAATGAAAAGACTCACATTACTTTTTGTTGATTTTTGTCTTCTGCTCGTTAGTGTTAAGAGTCAAACGAAAGATACCTGCCAATGTGTTCCCATAGGCGATAATGAAGACGCCGGTTTTTATTCATTAACAAATTCCACGTGTGTTTATAATGCAAACGTGTTTTGTTTTAATAACACATTTACATTCAGTGGGACAAACGTTTATTATGAGATTATAACAAGTGGGACATTTTCTATATATCTTAGTGATAACTCTAAATTTACAACAACAAGTAATTTGGTTATTTCAGAGAACAGTCTTATATCATTTATGTTACCCTTTCATATCGGCAATTCTATATCTATTGACAACAACTCGTCTACAATCATTAACAACCATTTTTCTATTGCTGGAAAACTCTTAATTTCAAATCCAAAATTAGACGCCCCACCTCTTGACTTGTGGGATTCAATGTATCTTCATTTATACCACAATTATCCTGGTAGACTAGACTTTGAGATAAAAAATCCAATCGGCAACATTGATTGTTTTGATGTCATTTCAATGGCAAATAACAATTCCATTAATATTAATTCAATTCCAAATCATATTTCATCAAACGATTTTCCATTTAATTTTACAGATGGGACTGCACATTTATTATCCAATAAAAGGCTCATCAGATTTTGTCCGACTGGGACAATTAAAAATACCACAGTGAAGTGCGTATTAAACCAGTCTTTGTATACAAACAATTATACAAACGGTTCTCCATATGGATTTGATTATCCCCATTGTCCATGCGATGACTCATCAATCGATTGTCACTTATATTTATCTGAGAAGTTATCCGAATACAATTTTGACAGTAAGCAACTTGCGTATACAACTTTACACATCAACAAAAATATAAAAATAACAAATGCAAAAGTAATCAAAACAGGGATGATGAGTGACGATGTTGTACTCGATTTAAATGGCGATTTTGCATCGTCAAAACTTTCCTTTTCTGTTGGAAATGTCGTTGTAAACCAAATTACTAACACACAAAGTACCTTTCAGTTCAACTCAGCAACTCACCAATTGGTGTGCACAAACGATATTACAAGTTATATAACAGTTAAGGAAGAAATTGGTAATATCATAATCAATTGCTCGGGTATAATCAACCCAATTGAATTGTCTGGTGACAAATTTGTGTATATCACAAAAGAGGTTAGAAAAATAGAAAATATTTTAAGTGGTTTTATACTTCATGAGAAACCACATATGATGATTATAACTTTGGAAAGTGAAAACACTGTCTTTGGAACACCAATATTTAATAATTGTATGATTATAACATCAATATCTAATGAAAATAAATGTTTAAAGTGCAATTCCAAAACTCGATTGTTGAATGACAAATGTGTTGACTTGGATACAAATTGTCAAATATACAATGCAAACAATCAGTGCTCATTGTGTAAAAACGGATATCAACTCAATGAAAAGTTAGAGTGTATACAATCAACAAATAATTGTTTAATAGGAACAACAGAAATTTGTTATGAATGTAATACCAATACATTACTATCAAATGGAGAATGCTACTCAAATACGGAATGTGAATACAATGATGGCAACTTGTGTTTGAAATGTCATACAGGCGATTATTCGACACAATGCGAGTCTTGTGACACAAATTGTGAATTGTGTGAAAATGGGAAGTGTACACTTTGTAAACAAAATTATTTATTAAATGGAGATAATGTCTGTGAAAAAGACAATATCTCAATTTCTCAAGGAAATCACGTCATATCGTGTGTAGATGGGTATTACATTGACAATTCATTGTGTTACAAATGTTCTTCTAAAAATGAGAATTCTATTAAATGTAACAAAATGTATGAATTACAATGTGACACCAATTACAGTCTTTCTGAAGATGAAATTTGTGAAACGACAATTTGTGATGATGAAGAAGAAGTAAAAGACGAAAACGGGAAGTGCAGTTTTCTTGTCGAAGGTTGCACTAAAATGATCAACGAAATTTGTGTTGAATGCGACGAAGATTTATATCCAAATATGGATGGAGAATGTGTTTCAACAATGGACGAAGAAATCGACAATTGTTTAGTGATGAACAACGTGGGTTGTTTAACGTGTGATATTGGATATTACACTGACGGTCAAATATGTTTTGAATGTGATGAAAACTGTACATCATGTGTATCAACATCATCGCAATGTATTTCGTGTAAAAATGGATATTACTTGGGTGAGAACAACAAGTGCATTTCTAACGACGAGTTGATTAAAAAATGTGATAAAGTTGCAATAGTCACAAGTGGGTGTTATCAATGCAGAGACGGGTATTACCGCGTTGGTCTTGACTGTATTGAATGTATATCAAATTGCTCTACATGTAACACAAATTCGAAGTGTTTGACTTGCAATTCTACAAATTATAAAACACAAGATGGAGACTGTATACCACAGAGTTCATTAATTGGGTGTCAACTAGAAGTGACACAAAATGGGTGTTCAAAGTGTCAAAATGGGTATTTTACTGTTAAAACAAATGAATGTGCGAAGTGTGATGATAATTGTATGACTTGTAGTGTATCAAATACCAAATGTACATCATGTCATTCAAATTATATTTTAAATCAGAACAAACAGTGTATATCAATGAATAAAGTTTACAAATGTGTTAAAGTAGCGAATTCCAAATGCTCCAAATGTACATTCTGGCATGTTCCAAGTGAGAGTGGCACATTTTGCAATACAAAAGCGGTGTGGTGGTTCATTTTAATTATTATAATATTTGTTCTGGTTATCATAACAATGTTTGTTGTATGTATTTACATTATTCTTATCAAAATACAAAAAAATCGCCACAAAAAAATAATAGAAAAAACGACCACCGTATTTTCAATGTCCAAATCGAATATTCATTTTATTTCTCTCAATGATGGCATAGCTGTGAATAAAAAGGAAATTGTTTTTAATGATGGAGATGAGGTGAATGTCAATAAGAAACTACGTGAGCTTATATGTGTAGGCAACACCACAAAACACAACATGAAAATTCAAATTCTGACGAATACAAGTCAAAATGAGAAGTTTGATATTATTTCAAATCCGCAATTAATTGTTTTAGGCAAAGGTGAAGCCTGTGAATTTGAAATATTTGTGACTTTGTTTTGTACTTCAAAAATTCAAAGTTCTTTTCTTCTTGTTGCAACTGCATTTGACACACAAAGAATAATATACAAAGAAATTAATTTTAGTCTAACAGCTCAACTGTCTACACGACTTGATCCAGACGAATTAAAAGAAGACAAGAAACTTGGCGAAGGGTCCTTCGGTGTTGTGTACAAAGGGACTTTACGAGGCAATCTTGTTGCTATTAAAAAGATGAAAACATTCAATGAAAACAAGTCGCAACTCAATGAATTTGAAAATGAAGTTGATATGTTGGACAAATTCCGCAGTGAGTATATTGTCCATTTCTATGGCGCCGTATTTATACCAAACAAGATTTGCATGGTCACCGAATTCGCTCAATTTGGCAGTTTACAGAATTTAATTGAAAATAAAAATAAAGAACATATTGATATGCAACTTCGTGTTAAATTTATGAGAGATGGAGCAAAAGGAATTTTATATTTACATGAAAATGGGATATTACATAGAGATATAAAACCAGACAATTTACTTGTTTTTTCACTTGATTTCAATGAAAGAGTGAATGCAAAATTGACTGATTTTGGGAGTGCTAGAAATGTGAATTTGTTGATGACTAACATGACTTTCACTAAGGGTATTGGAACACCAAAGTATATGGCGCCAGAAATATTGGAGAGAAATAAATATAAGAAACCTGCTGATATATATTCGTTTGCTATTACTATGTTGTCATGTTTTGCTTGGGATAACCCATTCCCGAAAACAATATATCCGTTTGCGTGGTCTATTGCTGATGAAATCTCAGTTGGTAAAAGACCAAGATTGGTGAATTTACTGGATAAACAGTATCAAGTAGTTATTGAAAATGCGTGGAAACAAGAGCCCAAAGAACGTAGTGAAATATTTGTAATCATCAAACAACTCGAATCGTTGTAACAATAATTAACAACAATTGTGTTTATTCAAATCACCTTTTTGTGTATTAGTAACAATAAAAAAGTAAAAACCAAATACATTTAAACCTCGATTTTTTCATACCTTGGCATTTTACAAACCTCAACAATTTCATAGATCTTATTGGTTGTTTGAAGTTTTTTTTTTGAAAAATGCGAGGGATACAATTGAAGTATATTTTACAATTAAATGAAATTATATTAAACTTAAAATAGTTGGCGTTTTCTGTTTTTAAACACACTATAACAACTTTATAGACTTTGGATAATAACACACACACTGTTGCTCAAGATAAACAAATTATACTTATAGTTGATACCTACAATTCAAATAATTTGTACATCAACAAAAGTAAATCAATTTCTCGAATTATTTGAACAATAGCCAGAATTGAATGCTTATTTGTTTTCAAAAATTTAAGGATTTTTTATAATTAAACATAATTTAATTAACTGTGGGTTTTACACAAATTTGTTTTTTGCTGCAAATATTTACATATTACAAATTATTAACAAATATTACAATTTAGAACAAAATTCAAAATGTTCAATTAAGAAAATGTTGTAGTTTTTAAAATGAAAAAAATAAAAAGAATCAAGGTTTGACTGATATTTTAATATAAAAAAATTTTAAAAAGAAAATCAAGTCAAAAAATAAAATAAAATAATAATAATAATAATAATAATAATAATAATAATAATAATAATAATAATAATAATAATAATAATAATAATAATAATAATAATAATAATAATAATAATAATATAGTCATTCGCTAAAAGGTAAAAATTTCCGACAAATGGTCTAAAGAACCCATATTACAATTTTGTAAAAATATGATTTTAGATTGTGTTTCAATTCGACATTTATTTTTTTATATTGCAAATATTTCAAAATAAACTTAAATTTTACTAAATTATAATATATTGTCGAAAATAGATTAAAGGTGAACTGAAAAACAATTTTTATGGAAAATGCTGTACATGTGTATTTATTTGGACAATACCAAAAAAGACCAAACCTGCAACTGTGATGGTTTTCGACAATTCGACCAATTCTTTGGATGTATCAAATTCGTTATGTTGCTCGCTGAAAATAACACAACCTTTGTTAGCTTAACTCCATTTGCTTCTCGTTTCCTTTAAGTTTTTGATTTGGGGATATTTGGTAGGCTTAAAAGAAGAATGTCCATTTTTTAAGCGAAAGACAATTGTGTAAAATTGCTTTTTCAAAAAGAAGTCAAGAAGGAAGATATGGATGGTAATTTGTTTTGGAAAGAAAAACCATTTTCACATTATCGAACTCGGAAACAGACTTAAAGTGTTGATGATGTTGGTGGATTTTTTGTGGTTACAACACCTCCTTTTAATATTATTGCTTTTAAACAAGCTGTCATAGTCAAACAGATTGACAAGACACCCCAAAGTGTCGTGTATCCATTGAACTTTGTAAAATTATAAGACACCCCAATAAAAAGAATTGTTTAAACAATTTATTTCAAAACGATTTTTGTTGCCTCAAAAAAAAGAACGATAGCATTACTTTTTTTTCCAAATTGAATTAAAAAAGAAAGGGAAGAAAAAGAGCATTGAAGGACCAAAAGAAGATAAGGAAACCCCCGTTTTAAGATTGCCGTTGTCTTTTAAACAAATTAAAAAGCTTGACAAAATTGATACAATGTGATTTTATTTTTTTTGTTTTTCTTTTTAATGTTATTTTTGTTTTTTTTATTGTTTTTTATAATTATAGTATAAAATAATAAATTATAGTTTCTTTAGACCATTTGTCGTGTTTTCATTGCTTTTGGTGGGTGACTATAATAATATTAATATTATTAATTTTAAACAGTACTGTCAAAGGCGTCTATTAGTCTTAATTATTATTGTCGAACTTGCTTTATTGTCGCATAACTGGCCAATCATTTTGGTGTACGACAATTAAATATTTTGTTCTCTAACCTGTAACTTTTGTTGAATTAAAAACTAATTTTTTATAAAAAATAAATTTTAATATTAAAAAGATTTTTCTACAAAATTTACTCATTTACGACAAATAGATAATTTTTTATGCTGGATTCACTACAAATAGACGCCTTTGACTGAAAACCAGGGTGTGCCAAACCAGGATGGAATTGGCGATTATAAATAGAGCAGTTTTTTGGCAAAGAAAAATAAAAAATAAGCATGATAATATAAAAATTTGTCTTTTTCAGCATTTTCGAATAACAATTACCAATAATTATTTAGTTTTTTCTTTTTTTCATTAAATTTTTAAATTTTTTATTTAATTTTTAATTCTTAAAAATAATATAAAATTATAGTTATTAAAATATATGTTTTAATTTATAATAACTAAATGCCAATAATCGGATTATTTAATTAATATAATATAAATATTATTATCTTAAATTTACAAATCACGCTTTTTACGTCTTTATTCGTCTCCTTATTTATTTTATGTTCTCGAACTTTATTCCATCTATTATCAATTGTATAGTTTTTATTAACGATATAAATCATTTAACACGAGTCAATTGTTTTTTATTATATTCCAAAAGGTGCGAAGGTTAATTATTTAATATAAATAATACTTCTTATTACCTGTTTTGCTGTAGATCCGATTTTAATCATGTCAAATTTATCGAGTTATAATATATTTTTTTATTAATTATGTTTTGTATTAGTTTATATTTTTCATTGTCTGATATAAGTATAAAGAATTCAACTGTATAACACCCAACTGTCTGGTTAAATAAATAACTTAGGGGCCACATAAATTAAAGTGGTCATCTTGTCATTGTTATTTTATTATACCTCGGAATCGATTGACCAAATTTTAACATTGTAACACTCAATTGAGGGTGAATAAGATTTAAACCCAAACCCAACACGTATACATTTGTTAATATAGTTAATTTTTAATACAACTAATAGAAACAATTTTACACCAAAAAACTATATTATATAATTATGTTTACTATTAAAAAACAATTAAAAAAACAAAAAATAATGGTTAAAATATGTATTAGTTATTAAAAAAATTAGAAAATAATAAAATTTATTCAAAAATCATATCAAGTAAAAATTATAAAAATTAATTAAAATCAATTAATTATAATCAAAAATCACTAAATGTAAAAACTTGAATATAAATATTATTTTTTGTTGAAGTTATAATTTCGAAGATGCTAGTTCATGATACAAAAAACTGTATTTAAAATAATATTATAATGGTTTTTTATCTTGAAACACAACCCTGTAATAATAATTTTAACTTATTATCAATTTAATACTAACAATTTCAATGACTTTACTACGGACAAACAATTTTTTTAAAAGGACTTCAAGAACAACACAAAGTTCCACAAAAGTCATTGTGGAACACGTTGTCATCACTACAAAGTAACGATCTTCAGGCAAAAAACATTTTAAACTTGTATAGATCCATTGAAATACCTATTTTGTGTGTTTTTAAACAACAACCCACTATAACACACAGGTTGTATTCGGTAAATGACAAAATTGTTAAAGGATTGTATGACATGCTTGGGGAAACAATTGATGGTTCTTGTACAAAAGAAATAAAACGATTTTGTTATACATCAACTGACACATTTACAATTCAAATTTATGCTGCAACACACACTCGCTCCGACTCTCCTGAACAAATTTATAGTTGTAAATCGGTTGGTTGCAATTCTTCTATAGTTGTTTTCATATTTGAACAAAAGTACCTATTTATTTATTTCAATCCATGGCACATTGATCACTCGGAAACAACAATAACAAAAGGTCAACATTTTTTAAATTTGATAAAAGACAAATTATACTTCGAGATGCAAAAAAAGAAAGTGAGTACGCAACTTTCCAGGCTATACCATGGTTTTACATACAATCCTCAAATACTTTATGATATTCGTAAAAGAGCATATAAAGATCAAACCATCAAACAGGCAAATCAGCTTAATATATACCTAAATTCCCTTTCAGATTTTTCAACTGTGTTATTCGTGGACTATCAGAGGAGATTTGTTTGATGTTTTTGCCTCAACATGCTATCAGTTAACGAATATGATAATTCATATCTTGTCATAGATGACACACACTGCACAAATAAATTCTCCAAACCTTTATTCGTTGTTGTTTTTAAAAAGAATGATATAACAAGATTGTTGTCATTTGAGTTTTTACGTGACGCATCCAAACAAGCGTTTGAGGAATATTTAAAAGAACTTAAACAACAACTTGATTTAAGATGTTTATCTTCCGTTGGGTTTTCATGTGACCGGTCTGAAGCCCAATCATCAGCACTATATTCAGTATTTGGCCAACAGACAAAGATAAGACACTGCTGGTTACACATACATCGCAATTTAGAAAAGCATTTTTCATTTGACGATGAAATTGTATATTTGTTTGATTCACTGTTTAAAGAAAACGTTGATAGTGAGAAAGCGGAGGCTTTGTTCTTAGCGAAACTA